ACCATTACCTCCAGAATATTGATTTTGATCTACTAGGACCAATGGTTTGAGTCTCAAGGTTGTTGCTTTGATTGGAGCGCTTGGTTGTTTCTTTGTTTTTAGTTGCTTTTAATTGAAGTATTGACTTTGATCAACATTTTGTCAAGACGATTCACAATGATTGTTTTCTCGAATTTGTTGAGTCGAAAATATCATTTATGCTTGGATAGCATGTCTGATTTACATTCACAGGACTCCAAATGAATACTGAGAGTTCGTTCGAGGACATTGAAAATTAGTTGCAATTGTTGATGCAACCACTTCCTCGGAGCTTGGTTCGTTCCTATGGATCTGCTAATTGGATTAAGAACTCCTACTTGGATTATTTTTGTTGGCATCTGTGTTTTCAAAAATATTTTTAGGGCGAGATGTATCAAAAATGTTTTGTGGTGTAAATTGAAGGCTTAGATTCATAGGACATAAGTCCTAAAAATATAACTTCTTGGCGTAAAAACGTACGCCACATACATTATTATTTATTTATTTTGGTTTTTGAACCATTTTTGCTTTAATTATATTTATATATTATTGATGTAATGATACTTATATTTGATGCTATCGTGTTTTTTTTAGGTTGTAGTTATTTTTTTTCTTTCTAAAATGTATAATTAAACTCTCATAGAAAATAATATTGCTATAAACAATTTTTTAGATAATCATGTCTTAAATGATAGGAAAGAGCTTTCATAGCACTATGTTTCTAAGATAACTTTATTCAATTTTTTGTTATTCTTACACTTTTTATCCTTCTAGTTTAAAATATATAAACAATAATCAGTGCAAATAATAATTGAGGATGAGAAGGACTAGTATGCGAATAAAGATTATTTTAACTATTATCATTTTGTGTTGTTAGTTGTTGCCTTTCTCAAATTATAATTATAATACTTTTTTATATTATTGGTTATTTATTAAAATTTATTAGTAAAATCATCGAAAGTCTTACTTTTCCTTATTTTCTTAGTTATAAAATTGTAGAATTGAATATACATGAGATGTACTCCCCCCGTAGATTCATGAAACTTACACCCTGTAGATTCATGGGACTTATGCCTCGTATCTCGAGGATTACGCCTCATCCTATATTGTATAAAATGCCTCGCCTCGTGCCCCCACCCTTGTCACGATGCAAAGTACACCCTAGACGTGACATGACATATACGGCCATGACAGGCCCTACACAAGTCACTTGACATATATACAACATAACATAATAGAAAATGTGAGAGTTTAAGTAAATAGTATCATATCATGAAATAGTTTGACATGAAAGCGAAAGTCTAATCATAGTCTAGACAAGCCAATCTAATACATTAAGAGTGATTGAGACGTAACCCATACACCACATACAATGCCGAAAAACTAAAGACATAAAAGAATGTAAACATAAGTGACAAGGTCCTCAGAACATGAGGACTCACCAAGTCTTCAATCTACAAAGCAATCCACTAGCCACGAACGGGGGGAGGAAGATCGTCGGACCCTACATTATTTAAACAATGCATGCATAAGTATGAATTAGTACATGAAATGTACTAAGCATAAGGGATATGCATAAAATGTAAAACATGATCATAAGGGGACATAAAGGAAAACATGATATGCATGACCAAGCTAAAACATAGTAACAACCTTTAAAGGAGAATCATAAATCATGAACATGGTCCATGCATTTTAAAATCATAAGAAAAGCTTCATAAAAACCTTGAAGTAACTTTAGTTTGTTTTGTGGGATTTTTACAACCGACATAGACCATGTGAGCTATAACATGGAATCCGTTGACTTACTCCCACACTGAAAAGAAATGTCCTTACTTGCCAAGGCAAGGACCTTACACTTTTAGCTTAGGTGGATCCACGAGTTATGTCTTTCTAAGACAAATCTTATGGGGCCACGCAGTTAGAGACAAAGAGATTGCTACTAGAGACCCAACCTCTACTAACATGAGAGCCTCCATCTCAATATCCTCTTGGTGCTAAGTAAAATTCCAATGGAATAGTCATATTCATAAACATATCATCATACATGGAAAGCACATTAAATTACTAATCCAAGCTTAAAACATCATAGAGTAACTCCTTAAATCATGAATCATGCATGTGTGAGAAAACCTTTCACCAATCATGATTCCTTAATATGTGAGGAAATCTTTTAACAATTTCATTGATGTTTATCTTAAATCAACCCTAGATCATAAAACATTTATTTTCACCAATTATGTATAACTTTCATGAAAACAACGTTCATAGATTCATAACTTTTTCATAAATTCACGTCTATAAGAGTTCATAGTCAAAATCATGAATAATGCATGGGTTCATATGAAATCGATTGAAAAACATGCCATTGAGTCAAAAAATCATAATAAGATCAAAATCAACCAATTGAATAAACACAATTAAAAGCCATGAAGAATTGAATGAAAACCTAATCAATTTGATGAAATTGAACTTGGAGAATTGAAAAATTATTGGGGCTCAATGGGTGAATGGAACCCATTGATGAAACTCTACATACCTTGATAATCAAAGCTCAAAATCAATGGAGGAAAAAGGAGACTTGAATCTTGAAACCCTAGATTTGGGGTAATTTTAGGAGTAGAAGGGTAGTTGTATGACTTAAAATTAGGATCAAAACGACATACTATATGTATTAAATGCATAAAAAAAGACTCAAATACCCTTACGAAATAACTGTTGGAGGGCCCTACGATATGGACCTACGGACCGTACTGGTCAACGGTAGGTCGAGTTACTGGGCCTAAAATACTTCCTATGACACCATTCTACGGACCGTTTTACTTTCTACGGTCTGTAGACCCTAACCGTAGACCTCAATTTTAACTTGAAATTTTTACGAAGTCTGGAGTACCCCTACGAGATCCATCTACGACTCGTCTAAATTTCTACGGTTCGTCCTATACATTCGTAGGCCAAACTTCAAAAACTTGAAATTTCAAAAACTCAACTCTAGGTCTACAGTTCCCTTCCTACGGTCCGTAGGATTTCATACGATCCATAGATTTGTTTCGTAGACCACTGAATTAGTACAAAAATTCTTTCCTTTTCAACTTTCCAATTTTTGAGGTGTTACAATCCTAACTTTTAGAACACTGATTAGCACCATCTATATTACATTTAAAAATAAATATTAGATGTACTGAAAATAAAAATTCAATCGAATATAGAATTGAATAATTTCAAGTACGACTATCCTAAGTTGTTATCCTATATCTATGAATTAAACGACCCTTTACTTTTTTAATACGGTAGAATCTTTATAAATTAATACTCGGTCAATTAATTAGTTCCTTTGGAATTGTATTGTCTTCAACTTCATTTTCGACATTATTTTCTCCGATAGTATCCACAATTCCTTCTAAGCTTTGAATCTCTAAACATATATAATTTTCATCCGGATAATCTAACGGGTCATTGACATCCATTTTATTGAAATAATCAAGATTATTAATCATAACCTCAAAATCATGAATGTTGTTTTTCACAAGAAGGATCATTTAAATTCCTTGAGGATTCATCCCCAAATGATATAATCAAAATTAACTTTTATTGAATTTCGAAACACTTTTTAAATTGATAAATATTAATTTACTAATTATATAATTTTTTTATAAAATAATAATATTTCATGTTTTCACGATACTAATTTAAAAAGATTTTAATGAATGGAGCAATGGTGGATAACAACGGACCAAATGTATCAAAGAGAAAAACTGCAAAAAGTCAAATAGTGTTAAAGAAGGATTCTTTCGTTAAACGAAGAGAAGGGTCGTTGCCATTCTACAGTGTGGAAGCCAGCTAATCCACAATACACACGGTGTATAGAAAAAAGCTAAATCATATTTAAAATTTCTATTTCATGTTCCTAAAAAAAGATTTTAACCAAAAAAAAAAAAAAAAAGATTTTTCATTTACTTGTCAAACATCTAACAAACAGGTAGAGCACAATTACAAATGTCTAAGGGCGGAGTCGAGTAGAACTAAAGCAGTTTATTTAAATCCTTTTTGACAAAAAATTATAATATATATATAGTTAGTTTTTTTTTAATTATAAATATTTACTTCTTCATATTTTAAACACTTTTTTATGTGTCCACAGAGTAGTGCACAAACTGAAGTACCAAATGCCCTTAACCTTGACTTTTATTAAATCAGATTAATTTTTAAATTATTTAAATAAGATAAAATTAAACCAATAAAAGTTGGATTTTTATCTCATTTTCCCTCGGTTTGATTTCTTTTATTTTTATTTTTAATTCTTTTGTAAGGTCTCTGCAACACAAAATATATAACAAGTGTTTCGAAGTATCTTTTTTATATTTTAGTAAAATTTTATAACATATCTAGTGAAATTTTATAAGTGAGGATTGGAGAAGGTAAAATGTATGTTAATCTTACCATTACCTCGTGCATGTAGAGAGATTTGTTCTGAAAAAGCCTCTATAGTAAATCCATGTACAACAAAGATAGTGAAGAAAATATAGTGTAACACATAGGTAGTGCAAAGTCTATCAAAAAAAGGAAAAAATAATAATACGATAGCGCGATAATCAAAAGACACTAATCAATAATAATTCCACTAGTATAATTACAAACACCAACTAGTATAAGCAAGACAATACTACACTACTTTATAACATTTTGCCCTAATACATATCCTTCACACTCTTCTATTTAAGATCATGTGTGATATAAGTATCATATTTTATCACCTCTGCTCAATACTCTTTCAGCTTATACTGCATCTCCTCGTACCCTCTATTATTAACATCTCGCACCTCCTCACTAGTGTGATAAGTGGTTACATTATAGTACTAAATTAACATAAAATCAAATTAAACCAAATCACAAGTAATTTGTTTTTCTTTTTAAAAATTTGATTGGACACATCCATTTTGTTTGAAGACCCCTAAATAGAGAGTGAGGGAGCTACTAAAGAAAAGTGCTCTGTCCTCCATCCTTCAATGTAGTGTGAACATCACAGTCATCATCCCCAATATTTATCATAGTATTAGTAGAGTATGTCCAAAACCCTAATTACTGACACTACTCCATTATTATTATTATTATAGTAGTATTCTATTAGTTTTCCCAGAATGTGCAGCAAGCATTCTAAAGAACTAGATATGTCTTCCCAGAGTTTGTTTTACAGGGCAAGGATGAAGCTGAGGATGCCTCCTGCCACTGCCATTCTCTTATTTATCTACCTCATTGTCTCCTTCTCACATCTAGTTAATGCCCAACTCAATCTTACCCTTCCTAACCAACACCCTTATCCTGAATCTGTTGTTCACCAACTACAAAGGTAACCAAATATCTGCATTATTTCTCTTAAATTCCCACTTAATTTCATGTTTATGCATCCATAGCTTGTTTCTGTTACAGGAAAGTCAATGAGTCCAGATTACTACTCCAGACAGTTGTAAGAGATAACAAATGTCAGAGTACAGGAAACCCAATAGACGATTGCTGGCAATGCGACCCAAACTGGGCCAAAGACCGGCAAAGGCTAGCAGACTGCTCCATTGGTTTCGGTCAGGGTGCAATGGGTGGAAAAGGAGGTCAGATCTACGTAGTCAGAGACTCCTCCGACAAAGACACCGTCAACCCAACTCCGGGCACTCTCCGGTACGCCGTAGTTCAAGAGGAACCTCTCTGGATCGTGTTTGCAGCAGACATGGTCATAAAGCTAAAGCACGAGCTTATTATCAACAACTACAAGACCATCGACGGACGGGGAGCAAATGTTCACATCACCGGCAATGGGTGTATTACATTACAGTATGTGAGCAATGTGATTATACATAATGTTCATATTTACAATTGTGTCCCTTCGGGTAATACTAACATACGGTCGAGCCCTACGCATGTTGGGTGGAGAGGCAAATCGGATGGTGATGGTATATCCATCTTTGGATCTCATAATATCTGGATTGATCACTGTGCATTATCTCATTGTACCGACGGCTTGATTGATGCGATCATGGGGTCTACTGCTATTACCATATCGAATAACTATTTTAGTCATCATGATGATGTTATGCTCTTGGGACATGATGATAAATACTTGCCTGATTCAGGAATGCAGGTTGATTACTGATTTTTCTCTTTCTTTGTTTTTTCTTTCTAGTTTTAGTAAGTAATTGCGAGATGGATCTATGTTGTTTAGGTGACAATTGCATTCAATCATTTCGGAGAAGGATTAGTACAAAGAATGCCAAGAATTAGAAGAGGATATGTACATGTGGTGAACAACGATTTCACACACTGGCAAATGTATGCAATTGGTGGAAGTGCTAATCCTACCATTAACAGTCAAGGCAATCGATATACTGCTCCTGATGATCCAAATTTGAAGGAGGTAAATTTCTCAATCCTTCTTGTCGTTACCTCTCGTATGTGGTTTGTGAGCTATTGCATAAGATCGGGGTTTTATCATGTGTGCTTCCTTTCTCATCCAAAAAAAAAATTTCTCAATCCCTTTTAATTTGGGGCTACTGGGAAAAAGTTGTTTTTTCTCTCTTTCTGTAGGACATATTTTGGTGATAATTGTTGCATTTGGAACCTAAATTATTTTGAGCCTTGTCATGTTTAATAAACTACTCTCTCCGTCTCAATTTATTTATGTGATACTGATTAATTTGACATAAAGTTTAATAGTTTTAGTGCAGAAGACTCTTGGCCATTTGTGTTCTAATTATTTATAATTACAGAAGACTAAAAAAATGTATGTGACATATATTGGGACGGAGGGAATATTATATATTTAATCAGAAACCTGAATATGATGATATGATTGTTACTCCATTAAAGTTGAAACTTGAAACTATAATTGAGAATAATAATTACTCCTGAATAAGAAGTTGTAAAGGTAATAAAAGCTGAAAAGTGAATCCCTTTAACTTAATATTTCAAGCAGTGAAATTGATTTGTGATTATATATGTGGGATGAACGAACAGGTGACGAAGCGGGAGGACACGGACAATGGGCAGTGGGATGAATGGAATTGGAGGACGGACGGGGACACTATGGTTAATGGCGCATTTTTTGTGCCTTCAGGGCAAGGCCTTACCAACCAGTATATCAAAGCCTACAGCGTCGATCCCAAATCCGCCCTTCTCATCAACCAGCTCACCGCCAATGCTGGTGTCCTTGGTGGCCCCAGGTACTTCTCCCATATTTCTACTTTTTTTCTTGAAAATTATTATAAGAAGTGAGTCAATTTCAAATGATTCATACACACCACCTGAGCAAATTTAAAAGTACCTCTAAACTAATAGCTGACTTTAGAGGCAGATAGAAAGTAATTGCACCATAAAGACAGCTAAAAAGTAGCTGGACTCATCTTTCTCATTACATATATATATATATATACATAAGTACTAAATTATCCATGATTATGGGGTTGATCGACTCATAAACTCTGACAATAATTAAATTGACAAACCTAAACAAATAAGAGAAAATCAGCTCTTCAAATGGCCTTCATAGACTCAAAACAACAATTAGGTTATGATTCAAATCATGATATGAAATGACGTAATTTGTTTTTTTCAAAAGAGTGTTAAAGTGTAGTATTAAAGGTAGGTTCTTCACGTGATTATGTGGGACAGTGAAAGCTGATGTAAAACCCTTCAGTAGGGCCCCGCCGGCCACTACATGCTCAGCCCCTTGTATACCTAGATTAAAAACTCGTATATTATTAACATCATAATTTGTTATGTATTAATTATGCACTTATAATACTGAATAAATTATGAAATAAAAAATTACTAAATAATATTTTGCCTAAACATGATACATCCTACCAAACGACACAACCCGGTGGAAATTGGAATCTTTCATTTTTCTGGCTAATAAGAGTTGTAGGACAGGGGAAAAAAAAAGGACAGATGAGGACCACATCACTGTTTAGCATGTGAGAGCTCTGCTGCTCCAAAGCTTTCCAGCAATACGAAGGACGCCCTTATTTTTTATACTTTCTCCGTTCCAAAAAAATATATATGATAATTCAGCATGAAGTTTAATAAAATAAATGAAACTTTTTAATCTAGCGGTTCTAGTTTAAAGTTATGTCAAATATATCAAACTATCATCTAACCTTGTGGCCTTAAATATGTCACATGAAAAATTGAAATTAAAATATTACTAAAAAAAGGAAAGAGTTCATTTTTTTTAATAGACTAAAAAGGAAAGAATTTCATTTTTTTTTTTTGGCAACCGGAGAGTAGTATGTCATTCTACTCTAGTCACATCATTACAAATAATTTTAAAGTCTCTGTAAGTTTAAAAAATGAGAATTTATTTATATTATTATACTAATATAGAGGCAGCTAAAAATAATAATTGTACTTAGGTTGTTGTTTGGACGTACAATTTCAAACTCAACAGATTTTAAATTTGTGGTTGCTTCTCAAACTTTGAATGGAACTTCTACTTTTTAGTTTAAAATTTTGATTTCACATTTCAAATTCTCCTCCAATGAGAAAAAATAAATATAACTTTTGATATTTAGATTGCATGTCTAAGACACAATTTCAACATCTATTCAAATCAATGTTTTAAATCATAATTCAAAGTCTATACCAAAAAGCACGAAAATCTTAATCTCATCATGCTACTCATCACTCATCAATTAGTGCTTGTCATAGAATTTTACTTGCTAGCATTATCAATTCATGTTAGATAAAACTTAAAACTGATGCAAAATTTTATCATACCAGCTGCATTTTCTTTCCTACTTGTAAAGGGATTAATATATATATAGAACAGGGACAACAGCATAAGCATCTCACCCCAAGGTGGCGCTACTGAAGGAAGCGGTAGGGGTCACGCCCAGTCCAATAGCGGCAGTGTCGACTTGTTCGGAATGATATTCAGCGGTACTGGTGCATCTGCAGCACCACCAACAACCACCCCCATCTTACTCTCTTTTTTCATTCTTCTGACTTTGTACATAACTATCACCAATCAAGATGCTCAACTATCAATACCATTCTTACACTTACTATAGCATTATAGGTCACCAGACTTAATATTATTATTCAACGAAACTCGCGATTAATTGTATTTATGAACGTCCCACATTTTGTACATTGGTAGGGATAGATATCAGAGATTGGTTGTTGCCTTCATGCATTTTTGTTTATCTTGCAAGTTTTGGTCACCGCTCCTCCAGCTGTTTATTGCTTCATATTATAAGTGGAAACACCATAATGCATTCCAATAGAGGAAGCTCCCTCTTTTATCAAGCATACAATATTCACTGAAAAAACATAGCTCTACTGATTTACTCTACTTGTCAATACTCATGCATAGTCACTACTAACTGCTTCCAAACAGAGCGACATACATTTATCCTAGTGTGCTCCGTACCACTATACTACTACAGAGATCAACTAAAATTCAACATGGATGTGCTTATTCATCTCAGTAACGGTCAAAGGAAGGCTGCCCGCCTCCCCTTCGAGGGCGATCATAAGGTCCTGCTCTATCTCTGTAGTTTCTTCCCTCATATCGTGCTGGCCCTCCAGCTTCATATCTGTCACCCACATCTCTGTCAAACCCTCTTTCTTTGCCATAGTCATTCTGGGGGTAGCGGTCAGAACCCCCATACCTGTTGCCCAAGCGATCACCACCAGGAGGGTACCTAGGATAAGAATACAAGTTATTTTGGTGAGAAAACAAGCGACCACTTCACAATTTTAAAACTAGACAAGAAATGAAGAAGAGGGCAAAAAAAGATTTAAATGCAGCGACACCTCAAACAATTACTCCATTATTTTTCGGGGGAGTTGGGGTTAAAATCTTAAAGCTAAGCAGGCTTGCTAACAAACTTCCCCTCAAAATTGTGATACCACTGCATTTCATTCAGTTCTTACAAGGACATACCTGTCACTAGTGTATCGATCACGACTCTCATATCTGCTGTCATAGCGCTCCCTATCAGCATGGTTCCCTCTATCATATCGGTCATCCATGTACCTATCACAGTCACTTCCAAACCTATCCCCACGTGCGCCACCATACCTAGAACGAATCGGGGGTGTTAGTGGTCGAGCACCCCGGCCACCTCCTTCCAATGGGCAGTCTCTAGCCCAATGGCCAGGGCGACCACAGCTGAAGCAAGTGTCTTGCCCAACTGACCTATTACCCCCACCATAGCTCGCCCTGCCACCTGATACGTAACCTCCACCATAGCCATGGTCAGGATCCTCACTTCCCATCTTTGGTTGGGCCTTGTTCACTGATATCACCCTATCACCAACCTCCGCACCATCCATTTCTCTTATTGCATCCTCCATTGCTCGGCGGTCTGCAAATGTTAAAAACCCAAATCCACGAGGTCGGCCCGTGTCTCTGTCCAGCATAACCTACAGGGCAAAAAACTCAGAACCTAATGCCAGAAAACATACATCAAACAGAAGAGCTGAGTTCTTCGAACCCCCTGTAATATGCAAGTGTGAATTAATCAAACTGATGGTGAGCATTATATTGCCAGGATATTATCATTTACTTTTTTCACTACATATCTAGAACATCAAATGGAAAAACTAAATATCTGAAAGACCAGAAATGTTTTGAGCTCCTTCATTTTAATACTAGTAGAAATTGTTCAACCTGTTTGGGATTTGAGGCATAGCTAATACATTGTGGATCAATACATGTATAATGGAAACTGTCTCAACCAGCATAATAAGACAGCTTCCTTTCAGAATGATACTGCGGAAAAACATTGCTCAACCAAGCCAGTTTTTTAACACGGGAACTCAAATTCTGAGGAAAACAAACTGCTCAACATAGCCAATTTAAACACAGGAACTCAATCTTATCACAGTGAACCATCACAAAAATTCAGAAAAGAAGAGGCAGTATCATTAACCTTTTTACTCCTCCCCATATTCACAAAATAATAACCTATCTCCTACACAAATATACCAAGACATGATTGGACCAAGATAGAATCAAAGAAATCAAAGCTATTTGAAGACTGTTACTCTGAGTCAATAAATAGGCAAGAAACGTTAAGAATGACACAACTTTCAAGAATTTAGAATAGTTCATGTTGGGGCCCCTCATAATTGGTGTTAATTTTTTTTTTGATAACTTAGGTGTTCGGGCCAGCTTGCGCGTAGCTCGACTAATTCCACGGGATATCTGTCACCTCCCACCAACAATAGGGTATCAAAATATAAGTCTTGGGACAAAAAGAAAAAGGTTTTTTGACACCCATGCATCAACCTTCATATACTGATCTGAAGACATAGACAAATTTCACAGTTTTTTTGTTTACACGAAAGGGAATAATTGCCTTTCCTAGGTAAGTTTTTCAAATTTTTGCCATTGCTACAAAATCCACAATCATTCATAACTTAAAGTTTTTTTCCTTATGACTGAGAAAAGCCATAAATTGAGAAATCCTTATGGCTTCTTATGACCGAGAAATCCGTCTGGGGCCATCATTGAGGACCAGCGGCAGCCTTCGAAACTCGGGGAAAATGGGTTGCCCCTCCACACTTCCCCATTTAAATACCAGGCTTAGTTCGCATGGCGCATGGCGCAGGGCTCGAACTTGTGACCTAAGTTATAAATCCCTCAACCTTTTCCCCTTTAACTAATCCCTCAGGTCATCCTCAATCTATGAGTTTTCATTTGTAAAACTTATACCTATACTTTTTGCTGATGTAGAAACGCTGCATATGATTTAGATCATGTATTGAGATTCCTTGCATTTTTGAAAGACATGAAGTCCTTGATACTTTTGTAGTAGGAAACTACCTTCTTGGAGATGAAATATCAGCAAAATTATTTTTGCTTACCAAAAATAAATTATCTACAATTCGTCCATAAAGCTTACTCTATGATGCTCCCTTCCCTCCTAACCACGCTTAACAACCAGACCAAATACAAGGTATTATGAGTGATTAGAGTTAAACATTCTCAATTATTCTACTGGAAATAACTATGTTGCTTGGACTCTTCAAAAATGTCATCAGGTGTGTGTCGGATCCTTCAAAACTAGTGCATTTTTGGAGGATCAACACGGGTGCGGCAACATTTTTGGAGAGTCCGAGCAACTTAGGGAAATAAGACTTATGCTATCAGGTAGCACCTCAATTTTTGGTTTTGCTTGGGATCTTCAGCATTCAACTTCAAAATACTTTGTTAACTTACTTCATGATAGGGACTTCAGGTCTCAAGTCAAATACAATTTTATAATTGTGCGTGCAACAATGGCACAAATGGAGGCAATTAAAATAAAGTGCGTAAAATAGACGGCAACACGTTTTCTTAATCATATCACAAGATGAGAATGGAGGATCTTGAATCAACATGTTTTTGAGCAAGGCCTAGGAATTTAAAAGTATTTTTTTAAGAGGAACTTAAAAGTAGTTTTTTTTTTTTTGGAACTGGTAAATGTGTATTCCTCAGCATTAAGGACATGCTGGACACCATCAAAAAGTGTTAGATAAAAAAAAACAAATAGAAAAGAAGATACTTAAAGAGATCTTAATAAATCTACAAACTGATCTATATCCTCTAAACCTACTTCTTTACACCAAAAGTAGAAAGATATTATATATGACAATACATTTAAAACAGCAAAGGAGTCTTACTTGGGCAGCAGAATCTGCAGTCCTGCAGATTTCAATCATCTGACCCCAATCCCCATTAGGTTGACTCGAATCAAATGCACCCAATGAAGTCGGTACCATTAACAGCAAACATAAAACAACAAATATGAAGGCATTTTAACATCTCAGGTAAATTCTTGACAATGCCAATTGATCTGATTTAAAGCCATATACTTTTCTTCACTTACTTCAACCATGAGTTCCGAGTAAATGTATGGAAGAAGTATATCTAAGCCATAGGTGATTGATCATACTGAGAAAATCTCACAGCTGCAAGATACCTTTTTTTGAGGCGCTCTTCGCGTTAGATTTCCCACAAACATTTAATTTCGGTTATTATGCAACACACTGATCTTCATTCAGCTACCTTTTCCAGCATCAATTCAACTAATTTATATTATGAACATCCACCAACTAGGGACATTTCAACTTCCCCCTCTTCAACTGTTGACTAGAAAGCCACCAAAGAAGATGAAGCCAACCTTCACAATCAGCATATTAAATACAATGCAAAGGGAGTGGACAACTAAGATGCCAAAGAACTAATCTAACACAATATATCATCAACCACAAAAATCTGATAAGTAAGATACTTCATTGTTTTCACTAGGTTGTTTGAAGAACTACTACTCTTCTGTCTTCAGAAGTATGTCCTCTTCTGATGGTCCAAAGTATGAAGACCTCAGACACTGAAGCAACAAACCAACCTTCAAATAAACAGAACAAGCTATCTAGATCATATGGCTTTCCAAAAGGTCAAGAATCGAGTTCCCTCTTGATTGTGGCACATGTTTAGAGAGTCAGGGTGTTTGATAAGTGCCACCATAGCTTCAAAACAAACTCAAAAAGAACGTGTAGTCTATGAACACCCCAAACATAAGGCGGTGAAATGGACATCCTCATAGAAAGCTAGAGGTCTCAATATTTTAATAGCATCTAAGCAGAAGCATGAAAGTCATTTATGTTTCTCCTGTGAACTTCGTGCACCAGATCTTATGCAGCTTACAGTACAAAGAATCTATTGATGGGACAAAATCCAAGGACCTCAGAGATCACAAATTAGAAAATAAATAGCACATTTGAAAAATTAACTTAAAAAGAGAAAATGATACTTCCATGTTCCTGCCAAAGTACTTAGATAATCATGTCTAACATCTGGCCCCTTGAACTAGGGAATATGACACCCAAATTCTAGTAAGAAGAGCAGACGATATTTTCCAAATCAGATTCATTTCGAAGGATGCCAAGACCAAGAGGTGCCATTCTCAGAAGCTGTCTGCCAACTCAACTTGAAGAAATGTTTGAACTGACGACTGAGCTTAGTTTATGTATTTGAAATTCATCTCTTGATGGAACCTTTTCAGTAGGGGAATTCACACTAGACTTTCTTAATAGAGAAAGAACCAGTACCCTCCTTCTTAGAGCAGAAAAATGTATGCCCACATACAACTTATACACATAATCAAAGCATCTTACATCTAATGTTATGAATACCCTCTCTATAACCACATTTGATGCATCTCAGAAGGTAAACCGGTTTACTGGACATTAATGTAAGTTGACTGCTATGCATCTAAATCAGAATGAAGAATGTCTTCAATCCAAGGCCAACATCCAGATGATGCAATGAAGTCTAGAAAGAAAAAGGATATTAATAATTCAAGCAGTTAATCACACCAGAGCACAATTTGTGAATCGCTGCAATCTGCATCAAAGAGCACACTTCCAAACAAGTTTTTTCCGAAATTGAATCTGATCTCAGTTCAACTACTTTCAAATGTTTCTTTAAAGCAAACCACTGTTCATTGTTACATGGAATTGAAAGTCAACTGCCTTTTGTGAATAGTCTAGCGAGTGAATTCAAAACAAGCTGCTGAACAGATTCTAGTATCTCAAATGTGGCACCCAGCAAACTTTGCACATCCCAATGAACTAACAACTTCCTCATACAAGTCCATTTAAGGCATCAAATCTATAAGAAGCTTGATCCACAGAAAATTGAGGGAAGTTATCAATACGTAATCAAATTAGACAAAAATATAGAATATAACAAGACTATAGTTCTCAACATCAGGCAATCTAGTAAATGCAAACACCAAAGACTGTCCCAGCCACATTCCCACAGAACACAAATCATAAAGAAATGAAGAAAAAAGAATTTGAAAACAAAAGCAGTTTGATCCACGGTTTATCTTTAAAAAACGTTTCCATTGCTTAAGCAGATGCATACCTCACCAAAAGTTCTCAACTCAAAGGACAACCTACAAGGAGTAACATGCAATCTGTTTCCATTGGATAGCGCTTATCAGATTAAGATAAAGAAGCAAAAATTAGGCATCCGGGTACAAAAGGCTGTTAATATACCATTGATAAAAATGGATTTGGATCCTCTCTAGTAGAGGATCCTGCAGACCTGCAGCAATTCTCAATACACTCTTTTAAAGAAGCCACATGTCCTCCCAGAAAATTAATGGTCCAGATTGTTATCCTCTTGTTTATTCTCCGTCACCTTGGTTTTCCACCATAAGCCCACTTCCCCAACACTTCATAGACTTCATATTTTACCCTGCTTCTTCACTATCATTCATTTCCTTGCACTTTTTCTCTTTGTGTGAATATATTCAATTTCTCTTTATATTACAGTAACAATAGTATAATTTGAATTGTACTCTTCAAAGATTAAAAACTTGGGGTTGGGGATGAGAACCTGATTTCCAAAGCTCCATTGCAGATGAAGATAAAGAACTTGGGATGTGAATTTGGTTTTTGAATAGCTTGGTTGCACACCCAATTGATGAAGACAAAAAGCTTTTTACTCTTCTTCTCCAATGAATTTCACTATCCAAATTCTCTATATTATGTACTGTGATATTCCCTAGTTCACTTTTACTTGTCCACTTTGGACTTTGCATGCCACTTAAAAGACAATGATTGGTATGCGCATTTTATCACAAGATCCATATTAATTGATGCTTAGTCTTAGGTATTGAAAAATGATTTGGGGAATACGTAATCAATGTTGATTCTTCTCTTGATATGCTAAAAGTAGAAATATATATTTAGTATAGTGGAATCAAAGGGAGTGGGAAAACTGCAGTAATTCTTTGGAAAAGCCCGGTTCTCTTTGTACAGGTAAAAGTGAACGAATATACTATAATATTTATATGGAGAAAGTCATATAAACAAAATACCGAAGTAAGTAATGAACTTGAAATCACAATTTTTATTGTAATCACATAGAAACAAAGTGATACGTTTAGTGAAAGAAAGAAAACACATTGGGAAGTAGAGTGCTGGTGGAAAACCAAGGTGACAATCTGGACCATTAATTTACTGGGAGTACATGGAGCTTCATTAAAGGAGGACATTGAGAATTAACCCCAACCAGTTAAAAATATCTTGTCTTAATTTAACTAAGCAACAAGAACAACCACATATCCCGTGTAATCACACAAATGGGGTCTAGAGAAGGTGGTGTGTATGCAGCAGTAACCCTTCCCTCGGTTAATATAACTAAGCCCATTAATATATGATATCAAGCAAATATTATAGTTTCAACAATATAAATGACTATATGATATTTTTGAATATGTTTGAGCCTAAGTTATAAATACCCTAGAAAAGTGGACTTGTTATAATAAACAAGAAAAAAATGCTCCATATAGTTGCTAGAACAAAAGGTGAATAAAATGAAGTAAACTCAGCATCAAGCAGGACGGCTTACAACATTCAACTACAGGGTCCTTAGTTGAACACCGATCAAAATTGTTCGAGATTTATATGCTCTTCCAATATAACTAACATTTTTTTTAAATCATCAAATATATGAACAACAGCTAACATCTTCAACTTTTCCATATCAAAGAAGAAATTGCGCTAATTTACGTTAAGAAATTGGAAGAAATATAAGAGTGAATTAAGGAAAACAGCGAACCTGACAATCAACAATTTTACCGAAAGGGCTAAAGGCGTCTTCGAGCTGACGTTCAGTTACGTCCCAAGATAACCCACCAACAAAAATTCGATAATCTTGAACCTTCCCTGACATCTTTTCAATTCAACCAGTACCCTAAAACTGCCGAAACCCTACGCAAATTCTCAAAACACCGTCGGAGATTCACAGAGAGGAAAAAAAACTACCTCCAGCGTTTTCTCTTTGCGAATTGTTTCATCTGCTACCTCTTCTTAATATATTTATATATTTCACCAGCATGTCCTCCTATTTTTTGGAGAAAAACAAATAAGCCCCTACCTACCTTTTTAATTATTTCAAATTTGAAACCTCTTGGTTCATTTTTTTCTTTGTTTGGTCATACCGGAGATTTATAAATTAACTTAGGGATCGTTTGGTGTGAGTGATAAAATAAATAGTTTTGGGATAAAAAAAATAGTCTAGGGATAAAATTTTGGTGTCTTATTTGATTGTCATGTTTGAGATAACTTATCTCACTATTTATACCATAGTGATAGGATAAGTTATCCTAAGATAGTTCATTTCAGGATGATTAATCCTGGGATAACTTCTTCCCCACCAAATTAGCTCATTACATAGTTGAGGGGAATTCCCCACTTGGAAACTAATGTTGTGTATAGCCGTTTGTTCTGCCATTATGGCTTGTAATTATTCTTACAAAAAAAGCTCCTAGCGTGTCTGCTTCTAATGATGTTATGGCATACATGGGGGAAACTTCAAAAAGGGTAGGGTTTCCCGTAACTACCTGCCTAGCTCCTCCTTCACCAGTGCATCTGCCACCTTGTTCTGCTCCTGAAATACATGTGTTAGCGTTGCTCTCATATGCCACATCAAGGACCTGCATTCAGAAATTAAGTTAGTGTGAGGAAGGTGTGTTGACACCCAATTTTGAACCTCCACATATAGATTAATTATCGAACTTCTTCAATTTCAAACTATTTAAAATAATTAGTCTAGAAAAATTCAAAAAAAATAATATAGTTTGCAAGTTATTTTAAATAGTTTGTCACTTTTTATAATAATATGTCTTTTATATAGTTTTGTATATAATTAGTATATTTTATAAATATTCAAAAATCGTCTAATTTTTTTTTTAATTCTACTTAATTAGTTGATTAATTGGTTTAGTTAATTAATATTTATATTTTTGAGTTATTAGTTTACAATTAAGTTAATTATTTTATTTCGTTAAAATTAAGAAGCTTGCTAATTAATCATATTAATTCATCTTATTTAATTATTAGCCAAGCTTACTAAATTTGATCAATTTGGCTAAGTCCTTAACTTCCATCGGTTATAGTTGCAATTCATTCTTTTCTCAATTGCATTATTAGCCAATCCTCACCTCCAATTTTATACTCCCTCCGTCCCTTTTTAGTTGTCCACTTTAGAAATGGCACACAGATTAAGACAACAATGATTAGCACAGTGAAGTTACAATTTTACCCTTATGACAATTTTTCACTTCAAAATTACAATCACTTATTTGAATTCAAGTGAAATAAATTGGAGG